CGTTTATTTATTTATTTACCCGTTTATTTATGTTGAAAGGACGGAAGAGCATCGTGAGGGCTCACGTTCGATTGCGTTCGTGAAGCGTTGGTGTATACAGCTCATAAAAGACAGCGATGGCACCTCACCGTGTACCTATACACAGACCTGTACCGTGTACACCTCAGGGCAGCAGGTCCCTGCCAGCGCACCCCCGAGGCACCGGTCAGCGCCGCGGACCGCTGTCTCTCGCTTACATCACCTCCCCGCTTCCTCTCGGCAGCGAAATCATTATATTTTTACAGATCATCTGCAAATATTTCATACAAATTGGGGGGAGGGGTGTACGCAATAATTAGGGTGGGCGCAGGCCTCCCGCAAGGCAAGGCAGCCGCCAGGAGGGGTGTGGGACGAGAGAGGTGGCAGCTGAGCCACCGGCGGCAGGTGCCTGAGCTAGTGGGAAGGAGGAGGGAAGAGTCGGACCAAAAAAAAAAACAAAAAAGAGAGAGGGCCTGCAGGGATAACTGATCATCCCTCCCTGCTTCTGGCCGGATTCATCAGCATGCCTCCAACCTCTTGACCTCTGCAGATGGCCGGCAAAAAGAGGCCACTTTTCTGTGTCAGGGGAGCATACGGCGCTTCGATTTTTGGTCTCGCTGCAGCCCCAGAGTTGCAGCCTCCTTACGGTGCAATGGGTTGCCCGTAATCTGTGACTCGCAGTGCAAATTTGCAAGCTCCCATCTATGTGTGTGGCTTTCTTAGAGCACGCATTACGTAGAGAAAATTATTTTGATGCTTTGTGTGGTAGCACTAATGAAGCATCATGCATATATGGTGACATTAGTTGAAAACAGAAATAAAATTTCTAAAAGTAGTAAAATGTGGGTATACACATGAATAGGCTAAAATGTGTGAGTCTTTTTTTTTTTTTTACTTACATCATTTCTGTGAAAAATATGCAGTTGGATAAAAGCTTTATTTGGCTAATGGTATTGTGTCAGCCCTATGTCTACATTTATTCACATAGTCAAACAGCCCTAACGCAGATAATAGCTTCATTAACCTAGCCATTCAAGTTCCTCTTAAAGGTCACATAAACCTAGTGAGGGCAGAGAGAGAACAGATCAACTAGTAACGTGTTATCTGTTTATCAGAAATAGTTACGTTACTTACTGTCATATGCATTCATGAACGAGTTTTATCTGCAGACTGCCATGAATTAGCAAATTCACCTTGCACTGCTTGTCAGCACTGTCCTTGTGCACAATTGCATCCGTAAAAGCTGCTGCAGCAGTATCTTGCACAGTGCTTACATTTGAGTCCCTTTGTTCTACTCAACACTACAAAAAGTGACCGTTTTGTCACTGCCATTTCTACATTTAAAATTTGTAGGTCTGCAGTGCTCCTCATGTGTGGCTGCTCTCTCCTCTCAACACCAGCGTCATCTCTGAATTTGATCATGAGTGCTTTCTTTCCTTATGTATTCTCTTTAGTTAGTTATATTTCTGACCAACCATTTCAAGCTTTTCCAGGTCCTTCGTTGATTAACCTGACTAATAATGTCTAAGTGGTGTGCTATTCTTCTTGTGTCTAACAATGTTATGCTAGACTTAATTGCAGTTTCTGTGATAATTCCTCATCAGGAATGTCGTTTACAACATCGTTATGAATCTACTTTGTTGTTCCAGCCGCAGAGATACTGTTTTTAGTAACTCAAGGTAGCTTCCAGGTAGTGCTTTGACAGGTTCTCCAGGCTTTAGAAAGTACCAGTGAAAACAAATCCTTTGCAGATGAAGTTAGACTTAAACAGGTGGGACTCGGTCCGGAAGACAGATAGACACTTTCAGTTCCCAATGAAATCAAGGAGAAATGAAGACGTGTAGCACCTCTGAAAGAGCTCTAAGCTCTTTGCATTATTAGGCCATCAATAAATTTCCTTAGGACTTCTTGTTAATCCAAGGAGAATATGTTGACAGTTGTGCCCTAGCTCAGCAAACCTTTTACGCATGGGCTTAAGTTTGAGCTTTGATAAGTTGTTCCTTGCTGTTAAAAGTAATTTAATTTGTTAAATACAATTTAATTTGTTAAATAAAAATCTTACCATTTTGAAATGTGGGACTGCATGAAGCATTGCAGCTGTAGTACTATTTATCTGATTAAAATGCTTTACGAAGCTTTGATTTTCTACTTCATTTACTTTTTTACTTCAGCGTAATTCTAAACAAAAAGAAGTAGATGTCAAAAATGGAATCATTTGGCCATTTGTATTATGAAAATATTAACAGGAATAACTTAGGGAAATACAGCAATTTCAGTTACAGTCACAATTTGGTCCAATGTAAGGCCGGTTAAAATATGTCTTCACTCGTTTTGTTCAGTCCAGCAGAAAGTTCAAAAGGTAAAATGTCTTCTCTGCATGAATAAACTAGAGAACGTATCTGAAAATAGAGATTTTAATTACAAATGACATTCTGAGCATCTTGCTACCAGCAGCCTTGCTATTAGAAAGTGACACAATGTCAGGCACTATAAAAGAAACTCTATCCTATATTCAAATTGAAATAAAATTGCAAAACCTAGATGCAATGTTTAAATATTTAGTTTTTAAACAGTTTTAGACCAATTATTGAAACAATGTTAGAACAAATTAGAGCATTACTACTCTGACCACCTAAATATCTGTACAGCATGATTGCTGTTAGCAATCCAACTAGCCGTTATTAGCAAGTACTACTTTGCTGTTCAACAAACTTATATTTTTCGGATAGAAAACTGGGCATCTTTTGATCCTTCAGGCTGCTGAGCTGAGCAAGATG